AATTAAGTGCGTTTGATAACTAAAATTTCACTTTCTGAATTAATTAAGTGCGTCTGAATGACCAGTTCAATAGTGAGCCAGAAAATAAGATACACATTAAGTATTGGACAACATACTAGACATGTAATGTTTAAGTGGGAACAGGGATTTCTTTGCTTTCAGTGCTCTGTCATATGTAGCTGAATAAAGTTTCTCAATCTAAACGGGATTTGACGTGAAATTACAATACTTATGTTGACAGGAAAGAAAGCTGAATGAACAAGATGAAGCTCTTATAAGATCCATGTTTAAGGTAAGTCATTTTCCAACTTATCCTTTGTCCTTTGGTTTCAGTTTATTCTATTTTCTTGAGGTAAACTTTTTTTTTTATCTGATTCAAACATTTTGATCTCAGGGATCAAGCAAAGGATATATACGAAGGATTAATGACGAAGACCTAGACGACGATGATGATGAAGAATTAGCATTTGGCATTCCTTCCAAGGGGTCTAATTAAAAAAAGTATTATGTTATTTTCTTGTCTTTTTCCCTTTTAACTTGTAGTTGTGAGAAGTAACATTAGTTCTGTGTGTTTAACTAAAGGCGAAACGGTTGTGGAAAATTTTTTAAAGGGTTGTGAAGGTATATCAGTTTATCATACCTTTTTCTTTTTCTTTTTTTTTTCTTTTTGGCTGAAATTCATCATACCTTTTCAAGTTGTATAGGGTTTGATATTGAGCGTTTCTCCTACCCTAATTCTTTCTATTGTCCTTACAAGGTTTCTTGTGCTCCTCTACTAAATTAAAATTCAATCATGTATCAATAAATTGATCATTTTTCTTCATTTGCAGCTTTCCCATCTTTAATGATGATGGGAAGGGTGAGAACGGCTTTGTTGTTGTTATAGCTACATCATTTATCGGATCTGGTTTGAATTTGGTGTGGATTCTAATTTGGATCCCGAACTTGTCTCGCTCTTCGAGTTACAATGGAAGAGTTTGGCCAGGCAGGGAGCTGGTTCAAAAAAAGTTGTAGAATAGGCTGCGGACAAAGCTGGTGCTCCTCAAAATGGAAATAAAATAATTGATCTGAAAATAAACGACTGATCAAACGGTATGTGTGTGAATATTGCATCTCAAGGTCTCTTTGAAATTTATTTTTGCCTTCTGTTTATTACTTATTTCAATAAATAAAAGCCTCATTTTGTGAACATGTATAACCCTAATTTTGAGCCAATGAAGTATTTGGATGAAGCCTTAGCTTCAAAATTGAGGACTCCGCTTGGATAACATGTTTCTTTGGTTCATGAATTTGGCTAGCTTAGGAGTTTCAAATTAGGCATATATCAAATATGAATCCTATTAGATGTTCTCCAAACTGGTTAATGAAGTGTGCAACATTAGTATTAATATTCTCTGTCTGCAACTTTAAAGCATAGCTGTAAAAAGTATCATGGAGTACTATGAAATGTCTTTTTAAACTACTTTACGAAGCTAAAAAAAATATTTTAAATTTATCTTGATTCACTTGATCTACAGTGAATTTGATCTTGTGTATTAGGCTACATAGGCTCCCTTTTGAACACTTTGATGACTGAATTTGCTTCACTACAGCTTGAGAGTAATTTCTAGAATGGAAAGACTAAACTTACATATTCATTTGTTATGTAGCAGTGCTATTGTGGGAAAATATTAATATATACAAGCATTCTAACACAACTTTCCTCTTAAGAATATGAGGGCTCTGAAGAAAATGGGTTCTTTGGTAGGGTTAGACTGATTTCCTCTTAACTTGAATTGGGAAGATTTTGCCATCACTGAAAAGCTCATCAGCAGGAGTTAAAAGAATGGTTGCGTTCGAATTTGGATGATGATGATTGGAACTGGAGAATCAAGTTTGGGACAACATGCTGGTCAATTTTGAATTAGTGCAATGATCGAGTGTTCAATGGTAGTAGCTTCATAACAGAAAAGGCGGTGAGAATTGCTTCATACCGTAGGTGAAATCAGAAGGAACATAAGCATCCTTCGGTGGAAAAAGGAGGGAGGGAAGCAAAAGGAGTATCCCAACTACAAAAAACTACCGACGGCTTGGGTCAAGGCTTATTGCGATGGTGCGGTATATAATTTTTCACAAAAGGCAGCTGCAAGAGTTATCATGAAAAATAACCAAGGAAAATTTTTGAGTGCTGCTTGTATGCCATTAGGGACATGTTCAATTGAAACTGCAGAAATCAGGGCCATTCTGTTGGCCATGAAAACTCTAAAAATCAGTGATTCCTACGGTTGCTGGTGGAATCCGATTCGAGTGTGGCTATAGAGCTACTCCAAAAAAGTGAAACAACGCTCTATAGTTTCCCTGGATCTAGACCTTAGGCACATCCACGAACTTTTGTCTTTCAATTAGGAAGTTCGCTTCGAACACACTTCTCGAGCTAGCAACATCTGTGCGGATACGCTAGCAAAATCGGCAATAGATATAAAGAGGCTGTTTGCTTGGGATATATATTTCATGCGTAAAAAAGACTGTAGCCAGAATCTTTCCATATCAATGCCGAATATATTGTTTGATATCAGGTTTCACACCACACAAGAAACTACTGAACTCCATCAATAGAGTTAAAATAGTGGTGTCAGAGGAATTACAAAAAATGAAGAAGACTCCTGCTGCAGAGAAGGGAAATGAAATTGATTAATGCTCTGATGCAAAGACATTTGCGGAGTCTAAATCAATCAAGGTTGAGGGAACTACTTCACCCTAACTAATTATTTTGCTACAAATATCAATCAAAATACGTATAATATAGACTACATAATCACAAAACTATTTTGATTTTGTTTCACAATTTTGAAGTATTAAATTGTTAGTTACATGATCATTCATTTGCCATATCACATGATAATGTACAAATAAATATAGAATAAAATATCAACGACACCAAAATCAAAATTGTAACCCAAAACAAAACCAAAATCATATTATTTGGTTTTGGTCATTTTTACAACATCAAAATCAAAATTTAAAACAAACTTTTACGAAAATTAATATGTTTTGGTCATTTTTATAAATAGAATGTCCATTTACACAATTTTATCATGTTTGCCCAATGGAAGAGTTTTCAAACATGATGTGTCTATTACATTAGATTTTTAGTCACACAATGATCTATTTCATTTGTAATCGAATGATTTTATTTTTCGTTTTTGGAAGTCCATTCGCTAAAAAGTTTCACATATATATGCATTTCCTTAGTCAAACATTTTAAGATTTTCCAAATATTCTATTTAATTTAAATTCATCGTAACTTATAAATTTTAATAACGAGAATGGTATAAAATGATTCGATAAAAACACTTGTTGCGCAACGCGCGACAGGTAAAAGACTAGTGTACAATAAAATATTGCATGTCAAATTCTAAAAGAAAAGGTTAAATATTAATCTTTGAAATTTATGGTAGGGCGCCCTTAGGTTGCATTTAACAACAATAATAACCCAAACATCATTAACTCTTCATCAATGTTTCATAAAAAAAAAAGGGACTGGATTGAAATTTTAAACAATCATACATGTTTAATTAATGCTAGAATTTTTTTTATTTGTTTTTTTTTTTTAAAAAAAGAGTTTAAACACGCATGAATTTGGACATTCAATTCTTACCTTAAAAACAATTTGGTCTGTTCCACTTGTAAGTAAGTTCTTAATGTGTATTTGATTTCCCTTTAATGTACGAACAAAGGCCAAATCACGGCAATGTTCGTGATTCATTCTTACCCAAGTCATTTATATAACATCACTTATTTGCAAACCTCGCCTCTCTTCTCGAGTTATCCCCTTCTTTTTGCTGTCTCGTGAAGGATCCATAAACCAAACTAGATGTTTGGCCCAGGCAGATGCCCGGGCGCTCTTTCTAAATTACTATTTTATTAAAATCTAATTAAATTACTATTTTTTGAGGAATTAATTTGGCGTATATATCATTTATGCTATGGTTTGGGGCTTAAAAAAATATACTTATAAATCTGAGGTTATAAGGGAATAATAAATAATTAGTTTATAAGGCATTATTCTTAATTACTGGATTTAAGTTTTTTTATTTTTTGTTTATATTAAGCCTGCAAAACTGTGCGATTGGACATTTGAATTTGAATTAATATATCCATTCGTTTGAAATGTAACTGATTGTTATTTGTAGAATTTTTTCATTAGATAAGTGTCACATTTAAAACATGTGTTTTTTTTAAAAGAAATTATATAACTTCTAATTAAAAGAGATTTATACGTGGCAAAAAGACTTCTGAAATTTGAAATATGGTGCATTGGAGCCAAAACAGATGCATACGTAGTTGCCACATAAGCTTCATATCTTCTGTTTTAATAGGGTAAAAGGGATTTGTTGTCTCCATCAATTGGTCCCTCTAAACCGGAAGAAAGGAGAGAAAAGTGGAGCAATGGTTAATCCTTCCGGACATGGATTAAAGTTCTGACGTGGCAAAGATGAAATCATGGTAGGATTTATATCTCATTTTGAGTTACATTCTATATGTACATTAACATTTACATTTGACAAAGAAAGTTATTTTAGAAAAAAAAAAAACTTAATGATGAGTGTAAAGAAAATTTAACATTAACAGTTCACAATAGAAATGAAACAATAAAGGGATAACAAAAGGTTTCATTTATCCCCCCTAGCTCCACTAGAAAAAAAAAAAAAGAAGTGTAATAAAATTTTACAGTTAGCCAAAACTATATATTGCATCTTCGATTGAAGTTGAACCAAAATCCTATCTTATAATTTCTTTCTTAACTTTATTTTGGAGTCCAAGCTGTATAATTTGTGAAATCTGTAAAATCTGGTGGTTTAAGGTTTGTGCAATTTGTAAACCGGGTGATTTGTTTTCGTATCAAATTTGTTAAAGATATTTCGGGATGGAGGATTCTATACCAGAACCACACGATTTTCAGTTTGGATTTTCAACCAAATTGATGGTTTTTGATAAAATTAACAAACAAATTAATAAAACCACCTTTAAATTAGACAACCAAAAAAAATTGTTACCAAAAAATTCGTCGTCAAAATCAAGAGAAGCTAATTTTAAATGGATAGTAATCAGCCCAATAAAGCCAAGCAACGGGCTAGTTACAGAATGAAACCTAAAAGGAAATGAAATACCAAAAGTCTAATATTAATTTCCTCACAGCTAGTTTATTATGCTTGATGGAAAAACTTCTCACATCTAAAGATTGAACATGACTTTGATGACCTTGCCTCCGCAAGCGCTCATGGAAAAACTTCTCACATCTAAAGATTGAACATGACTTTGATGGCCTTGCCTCCGCGAGCGCTCACATCAAATGCTTCTATAACATCTTTCTGGGAAAATCCATAGCGGTGTGTGATCAGTGGTTTCACATCGATTTTTCCGCTGCTAATAAATTCAATGCACTGAGGCCAGGTGTTCTTGTAGCGGAAAATGCCCAGAATGTCGACTTCCCTGGAGGCCGCTGGGGTGAGAGGAAGAGTCATATCACAATGGCCCATTCCAACTAGGCAAACTTTACCACCATTTCGAGTCGCAGACAGTGCAGTCGTCATAGTTTTAGTAAAACCTGCGCAATCCAAAGTTGCATCAATTCCACGTCCTCCCATCGACTTTTGAATTGTTTCCACTTCTTTCTCAACATCCTACAAGGGAAACCAGAATTGAAAATGGTTACATTACTATGGAAACAGTATAACAAGAGCCATAAAAACGTAAAAAATACAAAAAAACAACAAACCTCAATGTTGGTTGAGGCTTTTATGGTGGCAAATGCACCAAGCTCCTTTGCAACTGAAAGGCGGTAGTCATCAACATCAACAACAACTACCCTTGGAGCACCAAATGCTTTAGCCGCCAACAGTGCAACAAGCCCTATCGGACCTGCTCCCATCACTAAAACATTCGTTTCCGGACCGATTTCGGCCCGACGACAAGCATAAACACCAACACTCAAGGGCTCGCACATGGCCCCTTCCTCCAAACTCATATTTTCAGGTAGCTTGAAACATAAATCAGCCGGATGCACAATCTATATGTACATTAACATTAAAAAATAAAAAGTTAATAGAGCCAACTCATAATTTAAAATATATGTATCTTTATTGTATATGTATATAGTACCAGATCAGCAAGAGAGCCATGGTCTGGTGGAGTGGCAAAAAACTTCATCTCTGGACAGAGATTGTATCGGCCTTCTTTGCAACGATCACAACGCCAACAACCGTGGCCTGGTTCAAGAGCAACACGATCGCCTTTCGTCACATGAGTAACATCGGATCCAATTTCCTCAATGATCCCAGCGCATTCATGACCAATAATCATAGGGTCTTTCACAACATAGTGTCCACAGCTACCCGTCTAATCATGTTGATTTTGTGAGATTAATTTCACGCAATGAAAAGTAGTACTCCCTCCGTCACATAATTATTGTCCACTTTGCCTAAAAAATTTTGTCCAAAAATCATTGTCCAATTTGACTTTTTATAGATCAAGTTACACATTTGTCCTTAGTAAAAAACATTATCTATAAAATCTTAGTGGTTAAACAATTACTTATATAGGGGTATATCCGGTTGTTTAAGGTAAATTATTGTTAAGTTTGACAAAAAATAAAACCTTTCATTTTAGTAAAACTGGACAATAATTATGGGACGGAGGGAGTATTAAAATTGAATCTTTGTAAAAACGAATAAAAAGGGTTGCAAATTAAGTAGTAGAATTGAGACCTTGAAAATTGAAAACGAATAAAAAGGGTATACAAATAGTACCTTGAGATAGTGAACGTCGCTTCCACAAATACCGACCGATTTCATCCTCACTCTCACATCACGTGGACCTATTTCATCCAAACATATCAAATTCAAAAATCAGTAATTCAACTTTTTCCTCCTTTTTGTTTCAACAATAAATTCAGAAAAGTTTCTCCGTAAATCGATAAAACGGCGAGTACTTAATAAGAAAAACAAATTAAAAAAAGGGGAAGGAAAAGACATTAATGAAGAAAAAGTGTACCAAGAGGAGGAAGCTCGTAGGGCAGAATCCTGAGATCATTAACGCCATAGAGCCAAGCAGCCTTGTTTCCTTCTGAAAATCCTCCCTTACCCATTTTCTTAGGTCTGGCTTAAACTGAAGAGATTGGATGAGAAAAGTATGCCAATGAATGATGAAAATACGTGGACACTTGTGTCTGTATATATAGTTGGTATTTCTGTTAAGATTCCATCAATCCAGATCGTATTCAATTATAATGAGATTTTATCAATCCAAATCCTAGTAAAATTTATCCTTTTATTATATCTCAGATTATATCCAAATCAAATCTTAACTAATTTCCATCTTAATTAGTTACTATCCAAAATCTACGAAGAAGGAAAACATAACAAGTCTGATTCCTCTTAGGGATAATGACAGGTCATCCATCCTGATCCAGTGATCCTCTACGAAAAAGAATTTTACTCTTGTTTTGTTTATTTTTATAATTATCTTTAAATTGAAGACACCATAATCAATTAACCATATATCGTTAAAAAAATAAATAAATAAATAAAATCTTATAATGCTGTTAGAATCGTCATTCATTTAATGTAGGGTTAAATTTTGGTTTAGGAAATACTTGTCTTCAAAGGCTAATTAACTTGTCATGTCAATTGCTAAATACAATTCAATTTTACTTCGCATAAATTGTGTAAAAGATAAATATTTCCTATAGAAATACTAACATTGATCAGGCTATCTGCTGAAAAAGGAAACACCAAAAAAAAAAAAAAACAATTCGGTTTCCTTCAAAGTCAAAGTCAAGGATATCTTTGGTGCGAGTTTTACTTTAATTACTGCATCTTAAAGTAAACAACCCAATACAAAATTTTATTTTCTTCTAAATATACAAGTATATCTACATATATAAGGGGCCTCCCAAGTCCCAACACTTTGTTCAGCAGAAGTACAGTGTCCCATAAGAAATTGTAATCAGCCGACACTGGTGAAATTTGTAATCAGCAGCATAAACCCTAAGTCAGGGACCTTGTAAGTCACCTGTTTTGAAGACGATAAAGCAGTAAAAATCCTGCCCTCCTTATTCATGCAGCAGCATAGTTTTCACCTTTCCAGTTCTGTAAATGAAGGAAATGAACTTGGACAAAATACTCGGCAATTGTCTAATCATAATGAAATAAGCCCATTTAACGAGTTTCGATGTGTTAGTGGCCATTGTCCTGCACTTTCAGTTTCATCCATTGTAACAAGTGCACCAATATTATTGCATTTAGTTATGTCTGTTGATATTTTATTTGAAAGACTATATGAACAAATTAAATATTTCCCATACTCCTCCTATACATCGAACCAGTACCAGCAGTTGATTTCACATTTTTATTGATATATTCAAAATGGCGTCCTATTGTTATTAGGGTAAATATAGTTTCAAGCCAATCCATGTATGATCGATGAAACTTCAAAATCCCTGATAATTCTTTCATTAAATCATTCTCTCAGAAAAGCAAAAGCATGTTATATACGTATATGTATGTCTTGTTTTTGTTTGTCTGGTTACTTTTTTCTTTCATCAAAATCCAGTATCTATCACGCCGTGCTCCGATTCTACACTTTATGTACTATAATTAAGAAAGAATTTTAAAAAAACAGAAATTAAAATGTAACGTGGTTTTAAATTTGTTACTTCTTTTAGACGGTTTCATCGTGCCATTTTAGTTTTAAACATAAATAATTCGTTCTCTTACATGGTGTCTACATGTGATTATTATGTCGATTTTGTTTTCAAGTTAAGTCTGACATGCGTGAATTGCCACTGTCTATCGAATAACCTTTGACTAAAAATCAAATATCCATAGCGAAATTACGCAACGGTATTTTTGTGCATAAAAAGATGAGAGAAAAGAAAGGAAGGCTATACCTAAAAAAAAAAGAAAATGGATAGAAAGGAGATATATTTTCGTGGCGGAAATGGGGGGTCATTTTGCAATAAGCTTTTTTCTTTTTTCTTTTTGGAACATTAAAGGAGTCTAAATTTTATTTATGTAAACCCCCACACACACACACACATAAAAACCTAACAAAATTAACCCAAAAAAAAGAGATATTTAAGGAGCGAGGACTATAACTTTGTAAAGAAAAAAAATGAGCAATAACACTATCAATAAAAAACAAAACTGTATGTATTACTGTCGGTGGATGGATGCCATAATTAACAAAACCTTTTTTTTTTGATAATAATGTGTAACATATTCCCAATAGATAAAAGTAAAGGGTAGCGATATTGTTGTTAGCAAAGAGTAGCGATATATATATATATATATATATATATATATTTTAATATCCGATTCGAATCCGGATTAATCTCAGCAATGATTTCGGACACCAGGTACGTAATATATCAAAAAAGAAGAAATTTAATTTTTATCATTCTCCAACCTTCTTCTAATGTGGTTTACGTACGTTCCAATTGTATCGTTGGCCGGTGCATTTGCACTCTTTATTTTTTATCCTCTCTCAATAAGCATATTTGCTGTTGGGTTTATCTGGTTTCAACTTTTTTAGAAAGTGATAAAGCAATTCTTGTAATGTACAAGAAGATAATGATCATCGGCCTTATCAGTTTCAGCCACACAAGATCATATATCATGGAATTGTCTTGGTATTCCATACTAATAATTCATTTGTCAACTTCAGTCAGATTATTTACGATGGATTTATTAGTTAGTATCCATCTTTGATTAGGTTAAAATGCTTTGTTAATGAAGAAATTACTAAAACTAAAGAACTAAATAAGTCGTATTTCGTTTGTCTCGAAAAATTAGTCTAGCTTCCTAGCAAAATATTTGCCTCCCCCAAAAAAATAGAATAGTTAAGTTTCGTAAAATATGAAATTAATTTGATTACGAAAATATCATTATAATTAGAATAAAAATAAGTGACCTTTGAGTTGGAAACAATCTAAAAAGGGCTGCAATTGGTAATTAATTTGAGGAAGGTATAAGCATGGTAACATTTTCATTTGCGAATTTTCAAATGAAAATTACCACACTTTAGTGATACTTTTTCGATAAAAATGAACTGTTAGTCCCATCTATTTCTCCATTGTTATATGGTCTAATTTGAAGATGTGTTTGTTTAGGAAAATCTGTTGTTCGCAAATGTGTTTGAAAATAAGTTATAGTATAAATTTCTCATAACATAAAGGAAAACCGGGTTGATTACTACCAAGTGGTTTGGATTCGTGACTCATCATTTCTACATGTGTTCTAAAATGTAAAATCCTGTAATAAACCAAAAAAAAAAAAAAATTGTAAAATCCTTATTCATTCTAATCAATCTTTCCACCATAGACAATATCTCATTACGAAGACATATGTAAAATGAGCAGTCCAGTCAACTTTGCAAGTCTTTCGAGCAGCCGTTTGAGATGAAACAGAAACCGGTTTCTATTTTCGCTTGCAGTTGGACCGGTTTGACACGAGTTTTAAGAGAATGCGATTGATTAGATCATCAAAAAACTATAAGCGTCCAGGTGAATGGATCGAACTGCGTCTACAACGGTGAATCAGACGACTATAAATGTACAATTTCTTTTTACTTCTTAATAAATTGAAATGCAATTTTTTTTTGCCTTTGTAGGTAGAGTAGAGTAGCTGATAAATTGAGCGCCTCAATTGAAAAATCCACTATGACATACTCCCTCCGGTCTTTATTATAATTCATTTTGATTTCGTCCTAAATTTCACCTAGGATGTCTTTTTAATTGGAAAGAAATATTAAAAATATATTTTCTAATTCGTTGTGTTCTTCTAATTATTATGAACTGTTTTTAAGGTTTTTATTTCAATTAAAAAAACACCCTAGGTGAAATCTAGCACGAAATCAAAATGCCTTATAATAAGGATCGGAGGGAGTATGTTACAATTCTAATAGTGTGTAATTTCTTTTTTTTTTTTCAATGTTTGCTATAATTACTATCATATATTACTACTATTTATGGCTAAATCTATATCTAATCTATATCTATATCTATATCTATATCTATATACTATACTAAGGCAAAACCAGAGAGAGAAAGTCTAGAGCAATTTCCTTATGCTATATAGGATTTAATCCTATGTGGCATTTTTAGATATTTTTCACTTAAAAAAAATAAAAAATAAAAAAACAAATTTGGATTGGTGATTACGGGAATCACATCTTAACAAGAAATGAATAAACAGCAGATCACGGGGATCAAATCTTATTGGGGATAAGGGTAGAGTTACATTTAGATTATAGAGGATCAAATTTTATTTAGGGAATCACGTCTTAGGTTTCACCTAGGACGAAATCAAAAAGCCTTATAATAAAGACCGGAGGTAGTATGTTACAATTCTAACATTGTGTAATTTCTTTTTTTTTTCAATGTTTGCTATAATTACTATCATATATTACTACTATTTATGGATAAATCTATATCCATATCTATATCTATATCTATATCTATATTTATATACTCCCTCCGTCCCATAATTATTGTCCACTTTGTCAAAAAAATTTTGTTCCAAAATTATTGTCCAATTTGACTTTTTATAGATCAAGTTACACATTTGTCCTTAGCAAAAAAACATTATCCATAAAATCTTAGTAATTAACAATTACTTATGTAGGGGTATATCCGGTTGTTTAAGGTAAAATATAGTTAAATTTGACCAAAAATAAAATCTTTTATTTTAGTAAAAATGGACAATAATTATGGGACGGAGGGAGTACTATACTAAGGCAAAACCAGAGAGAGAAAGTCTAAGGCAATTTTCTTATGCCACATAGGATTTATGCCACATAGGAATTAATCCTATGTGGCATTTTTAGATATTTTTCACTTAAAAAAACAAAAAAAAACAAATCTGGATTGGTGATTACGGGAATCACATCTTAACAAGAAATGAACAAACAACAGATTACGGGGATCAAATCTTATTGGGGATAAGGGTAGAGTTACATTTAGATTATAGAGGATCAAATTTTATTTAGGGAATCACGTCTTATGTTTCACCTAGGACGAAATCAAAAAGCCTTATAATAAGGACCGTAGGTAGTATGTTACAATTCTAACAGTGTGTAATTTCTTTTTTTTTTTCAATGTTTGCTATAATTACTATCATATATTACTACTATTTATGGATAAATCT